GCACGTTTTGAAAGTTCATATATTGAATTGTTGCGTTTTAAAGTTCAGGGACCAAAGTGGCACTAGGCCCAAAGTACAGGGTACTAATTGGGAATTTTCCTAAATTTTTGTGGAATTAGTTGGGCTTGATTATAAAAGCTCCAATCCTTTACTGACTTGTGTTGGGGATTCTGGCTTTGTGTATCATTCTGTTTTGCCTTGTATTTGCATTTTTTCATCCTTGTAAATCCTTTGTGAGAATCCAATGGTGGTAGAACTTTTTGTGGTTCAATTTGCTTTACCTTTGGCCAAGAAGGGAATTGGAAGCATATTTTGGTGCTTTCGGATGCTAAATCTATTATGGACTTTTTGGACAAGTTTTCTCCATGCCTTTCATGTTTTTTTTGTTGATCAACAGTATTAGATCTTTGTTAATTTTCATTCTCTATGGTTAAGCTTAGATTTTTGCCAGGAATTTTTATTAGGGCTGGTTGTGAACTGAGTTTGTTAACTGGAGTAGCCTTTCTACTTTTTATTGAACAGTGTGTTTCCTCCTTTTGTTAGTGGTTGTTTCCTTTCACTTATTAGGAAAGATCAATTTTCAGTTCAATTTGTTTGTGGCACTTGGTAATCACTCAATTCTATTTCGTTGCTCACCATCTTTATCTTCACATGTGAGAGTGCTCTTTTCGAGATAGGCCCTCACCACCACAATCAAGTCGATGCACCTCACCACCAACACAATTCCCATGAATGGTTACCGATGTGAATCCCTTCCAAATGGCTATCCCACTTGATAAGATAGTCTTGAACTAATCGTCTCTGTTATTTGCTTCATGCTATGAAGACAATGAGAAAAGGAAAGGAAAAATGAACCATGGCTAAGCCCCTAAACGGTTCGGTCATACCCCAAAATCGAATTGTGTAAAAAAAAAAAGCCCAAGCCATCAATTGACCAATCAAACTAGAAAACCAGTGAACCAATTCTAGTTTTAGATAGAACCACTTTTTGAAAACTTGTGACACATATTGCAAACTTTTAGTGGCCATAATTTTTGTTCTCGGATGTCCAATTGGTGTGATCTTTTTTTTTTTCGATTTTGGGTAATTTTTAAGGATCTAATCATCCCATTCTTTTGTTTTAAAAATATAAAAAAGTAATAATTGCCTATTTTGATTGGATCAATAAAGTTGTACACTATTAGAGAGAGAAAAACCTTTGAGTTTTCTAATGCCTCTTATTTTAATGCATGTTATTATTACATTTGCAAAAAAAAAAAACATTTAAGAGAGAGAGATAAAGAGATAAGGGTAATATTAATATTTATTTTAAAAACAACAAAATGAAATAAAAATAAGTTGAGGTTAAACAATCAATCATAAAACAATAAAAAAATGTTATTCAACAAAAATATTAATTTAAGAATCCACTAAACTTCCACTTAAAACTAATACATATTAACAAAACTTAGTAAAAAAATTAAAAACATTCAATTCTGCTTAAAAATAAAACTTCATAAACATTAATAAAAATAAAAAATTTTAATACAATAAATATTAATTGATAGTTTTAATAATATTATGATTTAAACATGGGTTTGGTAATATTGAAAATAGAACTCATGTTCTATTGTTGTATTTTGTTTTGTTTATTCTTTTTATTTTATTAGATCACTTTGTATTAATGTATTTTTAATTAATTAATTAATTAATAATATTGTTAAAATTAATAATTTTTATGAGTTGATACCTTTAGTGTGCATAGTGCCCATATTACACAAGAGACTTATACAAAATAGAGGACCTATTAAAAATGATGTGAAGATAAAACTTAATGAAAATTTAAAATGTGGAAGATGTTTTATCGCTTAAACGAAAAAGACCAGTTAAAAGGGTCTCTGTTGACCCATTTTCAAAAACAATTCCAGTTAGTCTCAAATCATGTAACATGTAATCTATATATAATTAATAAAAATTACTAAAGTAAATAAAAAATATTAAAATTTAACAAGTTTTTATCTAGCAACTTTTAAAAGTTAAGAAATTAATAAAAATTAATTATTAGTTCATAAATTAAAAATCTAAAATACAATTCTATTCTATTTAAATATAATTAATATTAATAAGATAAAAATACAATTTACTTCTATTTAAGTGTAATTAATATTAATAGGATAATTAAAATTTATGAGAAATAAAAAGTAAACCATTTACATAATTTCATAAGACTCCTTTTACTTAAGGATGATCATTTATAACTTAGCCTAACCTTGGGTTAAAGCAAATATTTTCTTCTAAGATAGGTCTAGGTTAGATCTTTACCAAGCCTATACATAATGTTGGCAACATGGTTGTAAAATTAATTAAAAAAATCAAATTTTATCAGGTTTTATCTACCAACTATTTAAAATTAGTATAGATGGGATAATTAAAATTAATAATGAAAAGTAAGAAATCACTTATAAATTAGCATAACCTGATTAGATCTATAAATTTTTAGGCTCAAGCAACTATTTTCTTTTGACTTAGGTCTAGCACAAATATGCACTAAGCCTACACATAATGTGGATAGTAGGGTTATAAATGGATTGGATTCAAATCAAATCCAACTACACCCACTTCAACATTCGATTATGAAATTTCTAGATGTACATCCACATTTTGATTATTGTTATGGTGGATTTTGAATTTTAAAGTATAAATGCATATATGTATAAATACACATAATATCTACAAGTATACATAATTATACTACATATATACAAAATAATAATTTTTCACTAGATGTGGATTTTAATCAAATTGAATGGGGTTAAATCCACATCCAATCAAATTATTAACCAAATTCCAACATCCAAATTTGGGATAATTGGATTCGAAGCCTAATTGAGTATTGAACTTTTGGAGTCCAATGATAGTCCTAGCAGATGGGGCCCAAGCTAGGCAACCCCTAATATGCTCAACTTGTAAGTTATATGCATTTATGGTAAAAATTGTTATATAATATTTAAATAACAAATTTTATATTAATATATATAGAAATGTTATAAATTTTTATACTAAAATATAAATAATAAAAAATTTAATTTGTTATATAATATTTAGATAACTTAGGGGGTGTTCTATTTTTGGATTTTGAGAGGGGGGAAGTTGGTCAATGGGATTTTGGTTCCCATTGACCAAGAATTCCATGTTCATTTTCAGATTTATGTGGGGACCAAGGAAAGTTTATTTTCCTGGGTATCAGGTAAGTGATACCCATCTCCTAGGTGGGTAAATAACTTTCCCACTTAGGGGGAAAGTTGTTAACTCTTGAATGGGCAAAAGTGCCCCTTTCAATAATAGATTTTTATGACTAAATGGTCATTACCTTATTTACCTAGGAAATAGAAAAGAACATGGGTAAATGCACTTACCCAGGTAAGGGCCCGCTCATTTGCTCTGGAGTCTAACATCTGAAAGTGCAATAATTACATTAAGAGTTATATATGTGTTGGTGAACTTTTCTTTCCTCTTAACTCTGAATGCAAAGAATGTTGTTATGAATTATGAATTTTGAAAATTATCAAATGTCCATTTTGACCCTATATATGAGAGTTTTTGTTTGTCTTTTTGGATATATCATTGAAAAACAATAAATTGTATGATTGCACTTTAAGAGATAAGAGGAAACGAACAACCATTTTTCTCTTAAAGCTAAATGATTCCTTTTAAGAGATAAGGGTTAAGAGGAAATGAACATGCCCTAAGTGTTTCCTAGGAAAAACTTACCCAAGTAATTGCATTTACCTAGATAAGTAACTTATCGAAAAGTGAACGGGCCTTCAGTAACTTACCAAAAAATTACTAATACATTATCAAAAATTTAGCCCAAGATTTTTAATTTTTTTGGTTCATGGGCTACACAATGGGGTAACCATCCCTTATAGCTCTTTTGGCTTCAATATTATCTAAAATTAGTTAAAAACTTGAAAATAATGCAAGCATGGATTGCATTCGATTTGGTCCAATCCAATTATGAATGACATGATGTGTGCAACTTGGGTGGATTAGGTTACGATGAGGATCATTCAAAGCCTAATCCAAAGTTTTAAACCCTGAGTTTGGGCTTAGATTAATTTAATTATAACTATAGCCTAATTTTATATATTTACTAATATTTAAGTGATATTTACAAAAAAATTAAAACAATTAATCATTAATAAAGTAAAATAAATAAAATAGAACACTAACAAATAATATGGGAAAATAATTATTTTATCAAGTAATTAGCAATAATTATTGTTAAAAAATATTAATGTAATTAATCAAAATTATTAAATTAGTAAAACCTTTTTTTGTAATAAATTATTAAACTAAATATTTAATTATTTTAAACAACATTGCATTATTTCTTTATTTATAAGTTTTGGTTATTTCACTTTCCTTGATAAATCCCATGTAGGGGTGAAATCAAGCCAAGCCGAACCAAACTTTGGCATGTTTTGTCTCAACTAGATTAAAATGCTATTAGGTTTGAGTTCGAGCTCAAGTTGGCCTCGAACTATATTTTATGGCTTGGGTTTTCGGTTCATCAAAAATTCAATGAGCTTAAGTTTGACTCGAAAGCTCGAACATGTATATATATATATATACATATTTTTGTAATATATAATATATAATAAAATATACTATATATTTTTATATTCTATAATATATATTTATGTATATGTATATATATCTTAATCGTGCCAAATTCATGAAGGTTTCAAGCCAAACTTTTTATTAGTAGAGTTCGACTATGAATAACTAATCTAGCTTACTACTCTAAGGTTTAGACTTGATTCGAACTGGATTAGAATCAAAATCTAATCATTCTTAACGAAATTCGAGCCCAAAATTTGAGTTCAATTCAATTGTAAGTTTGCAACAATGCACGGGTCCTGCTTGCAAAAAATATAATTGTATATTATATAATTTATAATATATTATATATGATATACTTATAAATTTTAATTATCACATCACCGGTTAGATTTTGTGAACGTTGAAACATACTTGCAAGATCAATAAATTATAAACCCTAACGTCTCAATCTGAGTTCTCGTTCCGCCAAAACCTGGCCAAAGGGATGAGCCCGCTCTATACTTACCTGCGTTCGTGGCACGGTGTACGTTCCTCGGTCTCTGAGTTTCAATTTATTCTAAGCACAACAAGCAAAGACTCGCATTCGTTTTCTAGTTTGGTCGAACTGGGCAGACTGTTGTTTTAGTGGAGCCATGGTTGTGAACAATCCAGAATGCATTTCGGGTTAAGGGTTCTGGGGATCGTTAAGTTCGTTTCGACTCTGTCTAGACTCAGGTGTAAGAGTGCAGATGAAGCTCTGTCTTGGTTCCTGCGTGTTTCTATCTCCGATGGCGGAGAGTTCAGAAAATGGGGAGGAGTTTGGTCCAATTACTTGGTTGCTGGGCGGAGAAGTTTTTGTGGATACGCGGCAGAGCAGTTCTCGGACGATGAATACGAATGCGATTTCGAGAATCATCAGGTTTCTGTTATACGCATATTTTTCTTTCTTTGACCATTGAAGTTTAATATGTAATTGAAAAAAGTGACATTTATTGGGCGAATTGTGAAGCTTTAAGCAGAAGTTTATGTAGTCCGTTTTGTGTTTTCTGTTTGAATCTCAGTGAATGATCTTTCCGTAGTTTTGGAAGGTCTTCCCAGGTTTTTCTGTTCTATTTTGGGTAAAAACAAAAACGGAGGTTCAGTTCAGAAGAGCTTTTTATTTCTTTTTGTTTTCTCTAATGCTGAAACTACATGACTTCCAGCAATTGGAGTCATTTATCAAAAGCATGCAACCATAACAGCAACATTGCTTAGCTTCTCTGGATCAATTGGACAAAGCTAATTCTATAAGGTTGGAATTAATGGCCTAAAACCTAAGATATTATGAGTAGGAATGGTACGAAGGATGTTGATGTGGAAATTGACCGTCAAACAATAATTTTGTAGATGAAGAAACAAGGGGAGGTCCCATGGAGATTCATATCTTTGATTAGGAAGGCATGAGTCCTAGATAACAGTTTGAATAGCTCGTTCAACTGGGTTCCTGGCTGACTCAAATTCAGTCCTTACAGAACCGTCCTCACACCGTGTTCACAGCCACTTGCAGCTGTGCATTGGGAATATCTCCCCATGAATGAAAACATACAAATATGGAGATGTTCCTGATGCACGGCTGCAAAAGGCTGTGAGCATGGTTCTCTGAGGAGTAAATCCATACTTGACCGACTCCTTGGCAAGAGCAGGAGCTGTAAGGGATCATATGGAATGGGGAATAGCAAGTCTGGGAGTTAATTTGTAACACATCTGTATTGCTTCCAAATTATTTGTACTCTTGTGGCCTGCTGCCTTTTGGAGCAGCCAGAATTTGTTTATAATGAATATACTGTTATTTATCAAAAAATTTTTTTTCCCTACTAAGGAAATTCTTTGGTAGATGAGATGGTCAAAGGAGGGGTGGAGAAGTGATCTGTATTTTTTTCCCCTACTCTTGTGGCCTGCTGCCTTGTATGGAATTATACACGTACTTGCTGGTGCTTGACTCTTTTAGAGATTCATGTCTTTGGAGTCTTGATGATTGCACATTGCACTACGTCCTCTGATTTTCAATTATATTTTATCTGTTATCTATTGATGCCATGCACAGAAAAAGAAAGAAAACAGCAGAGACACACTAGAGAAATAGGAAAAAGAAGAAACAGAGGAGGAGGAGAAAGAATAAGAGTCTGATTGGGATCAATTGACTTCTCTTCTCCCAGTTGGCTGATCAAGTAAACAGATCGGATTTGGGGGAAAATTTCTGGAGTATGCTTGAGATTCAATGATGGAATTGTACCAGTCTTAGTTTTGGACTATACCTAGTTCAGTTTTGCTCTGTTTTGTAAGCTAAGTGCCATCTTGTCACCAATTGCATGTAACTGATTTTTTCTCTTAATAAAATTTCTATTTTACTCTTAAAAAAATTTATAGATTGCTAATAAGGTTCAAGGATGATTGTCCCCTGATTAAGTATGGGAGACTGAACTAAATGTAGGACAAAATAGACAAATAATCATAAAGTAACACATAGTGCAAAGAGCTAAATACCCCTGTTTAGTTGACTGCTAACATCTATAAGGTACTTTTTTTGGAGTCAATTAATTGCTCTGGAATCTGGAAATGAGAACTTTCTCTTACTTTATAATATGGAAATTTGTTTGTTTGAACTTTCATTCTAAACTAAATATTCATTGAAATGTGGCCTTAGAAAACAGTTTTAACCTTTTCCCTTGTTCTAGTTGATTTTTTACTTATTTTGTTTTTAAATTCTATAAAGTATTACAGCGATGGAAAATCCCAGTAGCTAAAATAATGTTTCAATGTTAGGCATCTTCCTCAGTGGTCAATATTGATGAATGGAAATGGAAGCTTAGCTTGCTTTTACGCAGTGAAAAAGATCGAGAGATAATTTCTAGGGACAAAAGAGATAGGAGAGACTATGAGCAGATTTCTAACATAGCCAAAAGGATGGGACTATACAGGTGGAGGAACATTAAATATATAACTTTGTTTTTCTTTGTTAATTCTTTTTTTAGGTCTGACCATTAGTTGGGATATTTATGAAATGTTCAAGGCTAAAAAGTATTTGCTAAAATCTAGTGAAATGTATGGAAAAGTGGTGGTTGCAAGCAAAGTTCCTCTTCCCAATTATAGGCCAGATCTTGATGACAAGCGCCCACAAAGAGAGGTAATGACTTCTGGATATTTTGCAACAAGCACCTTTTTCATGCTTTATGCAGATTCAGTTTTTTGATAGGGGTGTACTGAAATCTTGCTGCTTCAATTTGTTTTTTTTGATAATTATGCTTCATTTTTATAGGTGGTTATCCCACTTGGCTTGCAAAGGAGAGTTGAAGGCCTACTTCAGGAACACCTTGACAGAATGCAATTAACTTCTGGACAGGACAGAAATAATTCAGTTGATGATAAGGTCATTAGTCAGATGGAAGATGTGAGCCAGTATGAGAACCCAGATTCTTTTCTTGATGGGTCAGTGATGGAAAAGGTTCTTCAGAGGAGGAGTTGGCGAATGCGTAATTTGCAGAGAGCTTGGCAGGCAAGAGCAATTTATTTTCTTTGCTGTTTTACTAATTGGTTGGTGGTGTGAAATGGCAATATCTAGAGCCGTAGTTTTTACGCACCTAGGAGATTTATTCTTGTTTGTTTTCCTAGGTGTTAATTGGTTTGGGACTAGGGGTATTTTAGTCTTTTCATATTAGAATCTTTTATGTTCTGTCTAACTTTATTGAGCAGAACAGTCATTTGCATTGTAACCAAGAACTTGTAAATAGTGATAGCCAATTGGTTGGTAGAGATCATTCCATTTTTTCCACTTTTCTTTCTATTTCTTTTTTTTTTCTCATCTCTCTCTCTCTCTCTTTTTGAAGAATAAAAATAAAAATTTTATTAAAAGAGAAAGCTCGGGTACAGACAACTAAAACGGTGTGAAGATTACACCCATCCATCTACAACACACAACAAACTGCAAAATAAAACACCAACTTAAGATCACAAAATAGAGGTAAATGGTTGAGAGCCACCCGAGACAAAACATATTAAAATTCCTAATCAAGCATTTCTTCTTGTCCATCTCCTTTGACTCCTTCTTCACCCCAAGCCTCCCCTCCTTCCTGAACTGCAATCTTCTTCTCACATTCTTCTCTCTTATTCTTCTCAAAAGCTTCAAAAGCTTTCCTAGTGAACTCCTCTCCACCCCAAAAAAAACAGCCCTAAACTCTTGCCCACTTCGACATCCCTATCAACCAAAAATCAATCTCCTCTTTCCCCCCCTTCTTGCCTGCCCTGACTGATGTAGTTGCAATTGACCCCTTTTTGCTGATTCGATTACCCCTTTCCTCCTTGTCCCCATCCTCTGGCCTCAACTCCAAATCTTCTACAGTAGCTGGTGGCCGTTGTATTGGAATCCCTTGAGACTCTTGAGTCTTGACACTTGTTTCCCTTAATTTCTGCAGTTTTCAAACTCATATATTTATCTTTTGAGCTTCTTTTCTTGTAGACTTTCTAGGACTTGTTGGTAGGACCAGCACTGACCAGACCATTTTTCAAATGTGAAAAAACTTTTGACACGTGGACAAGTTGGAACTTGCCCAGCTCTCTTGCTTTCTTCAACGGCTCTGAAATAGAAGCATCTTTCTCCCTGACCTCAAAGTTCCTCTTCCAACCTAAGTCGATTCCAAGTCTCCCAATTGGGACTTCAAAGATAACACGTTCTTCTTGAGACTCTGCCCCCCCATTCTCTTCACTTAATCTCTCTATTTCGGGTTGACTACTTGATTCCAGTCTCCTAGCTTCCTCTCCTCTGCACCGCTGCACCTCTGCACCTCTTTCTCCCTGACTACGGATAGACCTACCTGTAGACTGGATGACCTTTCCCTGTTCTTCCAATTTCCCAGCATCTTCCTCCCTAGGAACTAATCTATCTTTAACACAAGGAATACAACGAAACTCGTTTTCACTGCTTCGACTCTCTTTATTCCTCAGTCTTACCGTTTTTCTTCCCAAGTTGTCGTAGTTTGCAATGATCCAAACCCAGTCTTTCGTCTTTCTCGATCAAAACCTGTGAAAGTCCCTCTTTCCTTTTCCCCTCTTGAGCTGCAGAGTCTTGGTGCCAAAGCCTTTCCTTATCTTTAAACTGTTGCACCTAAAACTGCTTCAGAACCATTTAAGTCTCTATCTCAGAGAGTGGTCCACACTTGCAGTGTCCGGCTTCTCAAACAAGCCCTGTGACCCTTCGTCTCCCTCCTCAGAAACCGCTCTTAAACTCCCACCCCCCAACTGGACCAGCTCGCACCTCTCTCATTCTTTGCTCTGGTTCTCATAAACAGGGTACCATAGAGCAGGTTGATCTCATCTAACAGCTTGCTAGAGACCTTTGATTACTCCTAGAAACATGTTACTGGCCTGTGATTGATATTGGATGAGCTTGTTAACTGATCACTGTTATTTACTATCTGTTTTAAGTGTTAGGTGTAATCTGTGATCAATTTTAAAATGTGGAGGTGTGATGCGAGGCATTCCACTATTTGGAGGTGTGAGGCATAATTCAGAATGATTTCTTGTATTAAGAAGAGTGAAGATGCATAACACTAGTTGGAGTGGGATCTTGTCGAAGTGGAGGCAAGAGAGCTGGAGTGGACAGGACCCCCCTAGCACAAAAATACCAAATTGGGCCGCATTAAAAAGGTGTTGGGGGTGGGTCTGGGCGTGAAGCCTCCACCCAAAACTTTCTTCCCTTCTCTCTCTCTCTCTCTCTCTCTCTCTCTTCAGATAAAATAAAAGAATTTATTGAAACAAAAAGAAAGATACAAGGAAGGTGATACCGTGATAAGCACCCGAAAGGAAAGGCCAACCCAAGCTGAACCCCGATGAAACAAAACAAACTCAAATCAACCAAAACCAGAACCAACCTAAAGACCCTTCTAACAAAAGCCCCTTATCCATCTTGCCACTTTGAAGCTGCCAGATTCACCCGCAACATTCTATGCAGTTACATCTTCCAGATCTTCTACTAATTCCAGCAGAGCCTTTGGCTTTTCAAAGGGAGTTATTATTACCGCCCCCTTTAGCTGCAAGTCCTTGATTATAGTTTCTTCTATTTTCTTCCAATCTAGTGGCTGTTCATTTGTCTGAACCACTAGCTTCTTTTGCCAGTTGCCTCTCTCCCAATTTGCTATGGTTCTGACTAGACTTCCTTTACCTGTCGTAACCCGTATTTTATCATTATGTTTCAATTCATCAGTTTTCCTTTTTTCTTCCCTTTTGTCTTCCTCTGCCTCCTCATCCTGCCCCAAAAATTCCTGCAAAATCTTTGTGATCTCCTTCCAACCTTCCCCTCTTCTTCCTTCTAGAAAGCAAATAACCTGCTTCTTTCCTCAACCAAAATGTTCATAAAGAGTTATATACCTGCCTTTAACATTTTCCTTTCTTTCTGCAGTGTAGGTTCTTTCCTCCACTCCTTTCTAACCTTTGAACACAGTTTCTCCCCAACTGTAAAGCTCTATGCCCCTTACCTACCAGTAATACCATTGCCATATTAGTTCCCTAACCTTCAAAGCTGTATTCCCTCTAGAAATGCCAATATTGCTGCTGTATCAGATAGTGAGAAGGTGTCCAGTGAGAAGTTTATTATGGAGCAATTGGCAGTTGTGAAGGCTGAATTTGAGAGGTATAGGGAACTCCTCAGCCACTTGGAAAAGGAAGTTGGTTCCAACCCTGTAGGCAGTTAAGCATCTACTGCCTAGCATATGCTTTTGAAACTTGGATAACTCTTCGATTTTTTTTTTTAATTTTTTGTATTTTTCTTTATTTTAAAGTGTCTGGCAACATTAGATATCTTCTCAACCTCCCTCTGATCTTTATCCTCAGATCTATCAATCAAAGGACCCTCTTGTGATTACATGACCATGTTGGAACTATCTTCTCCCTTTTGAATCTCCTGTCTTCTTTCTTTCCCTGATGCAACTTGAATTGTCCTCTTCAAAAAAGTTGTTGTGAGCTTTATCTTTTCCAGTAGTGTTTCCCCCTTGTTCTTTTTCTTCTTTGTTTTCTAACTCTTTAAAAGCCTCCTTTTCTAACTTTTTCCTGCCCAAAAGAATAATCCTGATGCTGTACTCACTTCAGCTTGCTTGTTTTCCATCTCCTCCCTCTTAGTCATCATTTCCTTTGTCTTTTAATGGTCTTGTCCTATATCTCCTCTCCTTCTTATAGACTTGTTTACAACTTTGGTCCAGACATCATCCTTCATACTCTGAAACCTCAATTTCCCCCTCTAACAAGTCTCTACCCTGTACTTTATCTCTCTCCCCCTCATACAGGTTAAATATTTCCTACATTCACTTGTTTGGGCTTGTGCCAAGGGATCTTTATGGAGGCAGAGGGCCAATTTCCTAGGATTAGGAATGTAGGATGTTTAACATCACAGTATTACACTAGTTACTTTAAGCAATGCAACTGGGAGATAAATAAACAGATTGGAAGTTTCACATGCTTGAATTATTGACTGCTTCTAGCACTTTGGTACAATCCACATATGTTTGTTCACTTTCACATTTTCATATTGAACATGTTTTATATGTTTGGTTTTTGCACATTAGTTTGAGCCAATGGTCTTATTAAAAGCATTTAATTTCTTTTAAAATTCAGTTTTGCATTATTAATGTATTACTTATTTAATTTTGACCTTTTTTTTTTTTCAAAAAATTGTGCCTTGCTTTGAAAAGGCATGCACCTCACCTTACACCTCTGGTGCTAGAAGGGCCCTTGCACTTTTCTTGTACCTTGTGCTTTAAAACACCGAGGAAGTTGATTCTTCATGTTGGATATCTTCTTGGTGAGAAAATCCAGTTTTGGGTTCTACCATCCTCCATATTTTTGATAGATGCACCTGTTGCATATGCTGTCCATGCTGCCTATAATGGTATGAAAATGGATACTTTGAGGAACTTACTGACATTTCCAATTTTTGTTATTTGCTATTACAGTTCACCATTTATCCCTCTGCTAGTTTTGTCTGCATTTTAGATTTGTTCTTCTTCTAGCCTAGTCACCTTATGTTGTTACATTTCCTGGATTATTGTGGTTTTCACTTTACAGGAATCACCAGAGGGAAAGAAGATGTTGGAGTTCAGGAAATCTCTTCCTGCATACAAGGAAAAGGAAAGGCTGCTATCTGCAATTGCACGGAATCAGGTTTTATTTTGAGCCAATATCCTACCCTAGTAGGATTTTTAGCTATATCAGGCAACATCTTCTTGTGTTAATGAGAAGATTGTGAAGAATGACTTATTTACACATAAAAACAAGTATCTAATTAACTTTGATTATCAGATTTCTTCTTACCCGTGTTCGAGTGAAGAACTTAAAATAGATCTTCATGAGGCCCCTCAATCAGAGGGATCTCTTTTTTTGCTGGAAGGGAGTGTCCATTGAATAAGTGATCTGTACATGCCTTGAACTTCATACAATGATCAAAAAACAAGATAGTACTCATATCTAGTGATGTGGGCACCAAGGTGGTCCTAGATTGGATCTGGAATTTTTGGCTTATTTTCTGATTTTTATGAGATTTCAAGTTACATTTTTTTTGTTATTTACAATATTGATGGGGTTCGGGCATCTTTCTATGATTCTAATTGGCATCTTTGTTAGTAGGAGTTCTTTTGTGGTTTAAATTGGTAGTTCTCACTTTTATTGTCAGATTTTGAGTTTATATTTTATTTCAGCCTTTAGGATTACATCAACAACTTTAATATCATGTCTTGTGCCCTACTCTCTTCCTTATGTATGTAATGTTTGCATTTACTAAAGGCAATAAGTTAATGACAAATTTGTTTAAGTAATAAAAGAAGCATTATTCCTTTTTGAAATTGTGTATATTGATGTTTGGGGCCCGTATCATACTACTATGGGGGGATACAGATATTTCCTATTGTTTGTTGATAATTATTCTCGTTTGTTATGGGTTTATCTTATGTGTTCTCAGGATGAGATCCCTACTTTGACTTGTGCCTTCCATCAAATGATTTTTACCCAATTTGGAGCTAGAACCAAAGTCTTTGGGATTTGATAATGCCTAGGAGTATTTTGCAAAACCCTTGACGTCATATTTCCTTGAGTCTGGGGCCATTAGAGCACTTGTCCCTGTACACATCAGTAAAATGGAGTAATTGAGAGAAAGAATAAACATATCCTAGAGGTTGCAAGGAGCATCATGTTGAATTCTAATGTTCCCGTACGTTTTTGGGGGAAGACCATCCACACACCTGTGTATCTCATTAACAGAGTTCTTTCATAGGTTCTAGATATGAAAGCTCCTTTTACTCTTTTGTATCAGCAAAAGGAGGAATGTTTAAAATTATAGCAAACTAGGAGAGAGGAGACTGGCAGAAGAAATTAGTGGTGCAGACAAAAAACAGCCACAAAATTGGAGAAAAATAGCACAAACCATAATCAAAGCTTTAAAGTTAAGAGCGGAGGTAATCATAACTCCTTTCAAATCGCAGAAAGCATTATTTGAGCCAACAGAAGAGATTATAGATTTCGAAGCGATGGAGCTTGTAGATGAATCTGGAAACTTTATGGTGGCAAAGTGGAGCCCCCTTTCGAATGAAAAAAGTTTTGCCATAGAAGATGGTGTCATCGTTTGTATCCTTGGTCTCCCGTTCCATCTTTGGAAGGAAGAAATATATAAGTTCATTGCTTCTTTATGTGGAGGTAAACTGGATGGTATTTTTGCAGTGGATCTCATTCGGCGGCCATTTCCTTGAGTGGGGTTAGACCTAAGGAGATTCCAAGAAGAATTGTATTAGTAGATGAGCAGCTCGTTTACTCAGTTTGGTTGACAACGACCATTAAAACTACACTGTGGGGAGCTGCAAGAAAGAAGGAATATGAATAGTCAGAAGAAGATTGCTTACGTGGGAGAAGTCAACTGGTTGAAGTGAAAAGGAATGGAGATTATATTAAAATGGAAAAACAGGACCTAGGAAGAGGAAAATGCATGTGTTCAGAGGAAATGTTTCTTAAGCCAATTACTGGAAAGGACTTGACGCCTGGACGCTTTTATGTTGAGGCTCTGACAATAGGGTCTTGACATGTGCAACAAGCTCAAATTCAAAATTCTAAGCAAGGGGTGGGTTGGCCAGATGGAAGGTTACAGTTGAACTGAATTGAGAATGTGGGTTCAAGTAATTATAAATCATCACGTGGCACTTTTAGTGGCCACGTGAGACCTATTAATGGGCTTGATTCTGTCACTCAACCGATCCCTGATTTGGGCCCAAATATTGGGCCTAAAGGAGCCTCAACATCTGACCTTTTAAATAGGCATGCAAGCCCTGATTTGGGCCCAACTATTGGGCCTAAAAGAGTCTCAACACATGGCATCTTATATAGGCATGTGAGCTCGTTGATGGAAGATAAATCTTTTCTGTCATATTCTCCCTCGTGCAAAACAAAGGCCGAAGAAACCTGGAGTAAGTCACATGTGTGGCAGCAGACGATGGTATGGGCACAAAGCAAAGGGAAAGCCACTGCTTCTCCTGAAAAGCGCAATCCGAAGTTTAATCTGTGCATTAATAAAGAAAAGGAGAAAATACAAGAACTAGTTTCAGACTCAAATGACAGTTCCAACTTCCAATTACAGTGACTCAGATTCCTTTGAAACCTCAAGCATGGACAGCTTTGATCAAACACTGAGGATTGATATGAATGAAGAGGATGACTTTAACACAGAAGTACTCTTCTTGGAAGATCAGAAGAAGTTTACACCTCTGAAGTTTGGAACAACAGTAACTGGGTAGGCAACAACAACAGTTGAAGTTGTGCAGATTTCCACCCCACCAGATTTTGTGATCCTCC